TTACAAGAGAATGAGCAGTATCTCTTCTTGGACCATCTTTAAATTAGTTGCAAGTAGTTTCTGGATCTGTGCTGACTGTTGTGTTGTTAGTGTACTTCTGAATCTGTCTATTGCATCAAGTATTCTTGAAACTAAAGCAACATATCAGAGTCTTCCTGCCTTATATCTGATTTTGAAATTTGGCACTATAGATACATAAATACCATAACTACTTTGTCCTGCTCTGGTTGGAGTGCTTCCTGCTTCTGCAGATGTCAAAGTTTCAGGGCCTGTTTATCACCAAATGAATGCAAATAATGCTTGAATTTAGAGACTTGGAGAATTTGGCAGTACTAGAAAGCAGATCTTTTCAATTGCTCTTGCAAAAACAAATTCTTTTGCAGAAAAGCAAACTGAAGTTACTTTTGCATGCAACTTCTGTTGCTTTTTTGGTAAAACAGAATCAAGGATGTAGGATACTTTCATTCTGAAGTACTGAAAGATCTGGCATATCACTAGTCTATATAAATAAGATATAAATAAGAAGTTTTTCAAAAAGGAGAACATACACATGGTTCTATGTATTTTTTAAGATGTTTCTTTTGTGAGCTTTCTGGCAATAACTGAAAGCTGCTGACTTATTGTCGTACCTCCTTAGAGATACATAGTACTGGTATACTGCTCCTCACTCCATCCCTTCCATTGTAAAGGAATAACAGATTGCAGCTTTTTATGTCATCTTACTGGTTTGGCAACTGATCCACCTTTTTTCCTACTTTGAAATCTTGCCCATGTAGATTTAGAGAAATTTTTGTGTTTTACCAGGATTTGGGGTACATTATATTATATTTCTGATTATTATTATAATATTATATTTCTGATGGGAATTCCAATGAAATTTTGCATCTGCTGCACAGCTATCATATGCAAAGACAGTATGTACAATGCTTTCATCAAAGATTATCATATGTTCAGAAATCCCAAATGTCTATGGGATATCTGCATCCAGCTGTCAAGCATATGCACAGTAGAGCTGATACTTCCTAAACAATTTTGAACGTACTCAATGTGTCCATGCTAGACATTCAGGAAGTCCTGGGCTGCTATACTTAGTTCTTGACCTGAAGGAGGGAGTCCCTGTGCCTTCTGGTACAGTCATGTAGAGGTTGAAGTAACTTTATTCCTCCATTATTAGTACTAAAGACAGTAAACCATTTTTAAAAAATACTGTAAAAGCCTGTGAAACTTCCGTGAAGTGCCAACCACACTGAATGTTTCTATGAACTTAGAGAAAAAAATAACATTTTTCTTGCCAAAAGTTTGTGAGTATATTAATGTATTCAGCTCATCTCTTTGATACCACTACATGGGGAGAGGTGGAAAGTCAGTCTTCTCTTATATTAAGATTATAATATATGCCTGGTTTTTGTTCAGTGGCACAGTTTACTGGAGACATAAGGTAGTAATGATATGATTAAGATCCTAAGAAGGATAATAAAGATTATAATCTAGAATCTAGAATCCCATCTACAAGGAAAGGTAAGGTAGGTGAATATTAAGAAACTAATAAATGTTAGCCAATAAAAAAGTATAAATCATTAATAAAGGAGATATAGTAGCTGCATGGTAAAACAAAGAGAAAAGTGACCCACAGGAAAGAAAGGAATTTAGCAAGGTAGAAAAAAGTAAAAACGGGTACCATTTTTTTTAATATACATAATAGATAAACAATGTAATCAAATACTTATATTGCTGATCTTTTATATTTAGGTATTGTCTCCTTATACCAACTTCTGAGCTTGACTCTGGCATTAGAGTAATTAGAATTACTCTTCTGGCAAAAGAATAAGGGCACACAGAGTTGTTACATAAACTGAAGTCACTGTTGAAGCAAATAGAAGTTTAGCAAACACATTGCAGGATACAAGTGGGCAAAGCATACTGCAGTGATCTGGCAGTGCGGGCTATGCTTTGCAAAAGTTGGGAAAAAATCCTCCCAATTTTGGTTACTTCTAATAATGCTTTTTATTTCAGATTTGTAATGTTAAAGAACAGCTCTCTTCTGAATTGTTTTGTTGTTTGCTTCGTTTCATTGCTGGATAAAATATGGGAAATACAAAGCATGAATAAATGTGCACTTTTGTGTTGCTATATGCCCCAGCTGGTTTACTTAGGGCTTAACTATGGCATTTAGGAGCCTGAAAAGGATTTAGAAATGGATCCAAGTGACTGTAAAACTTTTCTTGAAGGCCCTTCAATTTTGAAATGTTTGCTGGGTGCTGGGAGGAAGAACACAGAGGAGGTATTTCTTTATGAACAAAAACATACTATTGCTTGTCTTAGTGGAAGAAATCTTGCACAGAAAACGTGAGGATGCAATGGCTCTCCTTTGCAATCAGGTTCCCTTGGGCACTGTCAGCACAGCTGGTTGCTCCAGTCCTGCTTCACAGCTCGCTTCTGTCAAAGTTGTTGCTGTCTTTCTTTGTACACGGGAAAGAAGAAAACACTCTGTGCTTTTCCCTATCAGTATAATAACTTCAGTACAGCTGTAATTTGACTGATTAGCATGTTTATAGTTGTAAAATCAGACTAGTGAGGTGCTGGTCGTTCAGTAACTTAACTATGTATGCGGTTAGTTTTATTCCTCTTGATTTTTGTTGGTTATCCTATGCTAGAGCACTAAAGAATATCTGTGGGACTTGGGCTGCAGAGTAGAGCTAAAATGCAGTTTTGAGAGAAAACCAATTAACAGTATTAGTTAAAACAAAGCAAGAACTAGTGCTATACTAATTTTCTGTAAATGATATGTGAATAAATGTAGTAAGGAAGCAAGAATATTAAATCATTAATTCAGTTATAAGGACAGATACAAACCTTTTCTTTTGCAGTTCAGAGTTGGTACAGGAAACACATACATGTGGCACAATGAGGAATCAAATTCTGGTTTGACAGCTTCAGGCTTCTCCTGTTTTAGGTTTAGAGGGTCCTGCCTGTCCTCTTCACTACATAGTTGTTCGGCTTTTAGCTGCTTTAGCTTCTGATTTTTCAGTTCTATTGGGTACACACACTTGGCATAATTGCCCAAATTCCTATTTGTTGGAACCTGCAGCATTGTAACAAGAGTTTCTAGTTCACAGTTGCAATGCCAGGGATTATCATAAAGACGTAGGTAGTTTAGACTGGGTGTATAAATAAAAATCTCTTCGGATAAACTCTTAATTTGGTTATGCTGAAGTAGGAGTGTGGTAAGTTTATTCAAACCATAAAAAGCCTCGCTCTCGATTTTCGATATATCATTCTGTTGCAAATCCAGACTTTTAAGTACTTTATACTTGGAAAACATATTATTCTTCAGTATACGAATCCTGTTCCTTGCTAGCAGCATGTGTTTTAAATCCTCTGGCCAATCAGGTGCCACAAAAATCAATTTTCTTTCCTGACAATCTAGGTATTTCTCATGAAGATAAATGTATACATCACATGGTAGGCCTCGGGTATTGCGCTTAACAGTGCTAGATGCTTTCCTTTCATTGTTTCTCAGACTCCTGTTCCTTGTCTTCCTACAGTCAGATGCTGTGCAAAAAAGGAGTAGTAGTAGTAATAGTATAAGAGTAACTACTTGCATCCTGACATTCAGCTGGCCCCAGTTATTTTCTGTGACAGCTGGAACAGTTGAAATTTTTGGACAATCTTAATCAGTGTTGTACAGATCTGAGGAAGCACAGCTGGAGTATGTGGGATCCCTGTGTTGGAAGAAAAGTAAAACGTTAGTACAGATGAAATAGGCATTTTCATGGAGTCTCCTACATAATATGCAGCATTCAGTCAAATAGTCAGTCATCGCACTAGTTGGAGCTTCACAACTACTTTGAAGATTTAATGTCCAGTCTAGTTTGTTTTGTTGTTTTTACTCTCTGGTCTATTGTCATTCATTTTACTACACACAGGAAACTATACAGACCAATTTCTAACTGATCTTTGTTAGGTTCTCATTTATTCATGAAATTGGCATCAGGCTGAATTTTCTTTGTGTTTAAGTTCATCTTGGAAGAGGAGCTTGAAGGTGATTCCCAGCTTTTGGGGTGTTGGCCCACTGGAACACATACAGAGCCAGAGCAAGGACAGTCATCCACTGCCTATCAAACCCGTCCTTTTAGACTGCGCTCAAATGTGGACTTGTTTTCAGGTCGAGCTGAAATTTATCCTAACTAGCCCTGCTACTACCAAGTGTCTTTCATTGCTCATGTCAGGTAGACAAATTTGGCTGGGCTGCTCTGAGAAGGAGCCAGAAATAGTCTTTTGCAAGAGCCTGTGAGTCTATACGTCATTGGAGCGTAGGCAGAGTGCAAAGGGAACCTGCAGGTCCTGGCCATGGCCTGCTTCAATCTGCTTCCAAACCGCTTTGGGAGAAGAGTGGCTGAAGGGGTGTGTAAGGGTTGTTTCTAGTGTCAGACATCTATCTTCCAATATTTTGTTAGAATTGCAACATTCTCTGCAAAGTAGGAGTTTCTAAAAATAATAACTATATGCACTCAGAAGAGACTGTTCCAGGCAGCTAAATTCTCTGAAATTCCATACATGGAGAAGATAAGCAGGGCTTTTCCTACAATTGATCTGATTGCTGCACCTCTACTTTCAGAGAGAAAAAAATTGTTCATGTATATGATGAGATACTGGTGTTATATGGATGGGAGGGACGGATAAACCTATGTGGAAAACTTAATTCTGGCTTTTCCTAACTCCAAATTGCTTAATTAGGTAGCTTTCTAGTCCTCTGGTAACATAAGACTGAAAACAACTGATGGAGTGTGAGAAGAGACATTTCCTCAGGGACACTTACTCCAACTTTGTATTCTACTTTTGGGTGTTTGTGCTTTCTTCTCAGTAATCTGCTGTGGCCATAGTTTCAGGAAGGATGTTGGCCTAGATGGGCTGAATCTGTGATAGGAATTCTTAACATTTGTGTCATACACTGAGAATTTGAACTGCTTACCTTTAATATGACTTTTTTTTTCATTTAGGTGAATGTAAGAATTTGCAAGACTTAAATCTCTCTGAATGCCAGGGATTAAATGTAAGTGCTACAGACTTTTTTCCACTAAATCTAATTGATACTGAGAAGGAAGATTTTTTAAAGTGCTGTGGTTATTTGGGTACAGAAATGTTCCTGGTAAAAAATAGAGACTTGTGTTTCTAGATACTTTGAAAATGGAGTTCAGTAGGATTCAGGGATACTCAGTGAAGTTCTCATTTGTTTTCTACAGTGCCAGGGCAAAATGATAAATTAAATCTACATTAATTTTAAGAAACAGGTTTCAAAATGTCACTAGTTTGGGGGGAGAGTTTTTAAATTATTTTAAATTTGGAGTTGTCAATAACGATACATTTTTTAATCCTGTATTGTTTCCAAATTCCTTTATTCCTTCATTCAGTAGTAAACTTGGGTTCTAAAAATGTTTCACTAAATTTCTAGACATTTGTGAGAGCCTTTGTTTGGAAAGTGTCTGAGTATGCAATCACCATTACATATTTGTCCATTCTTTTTCCTTTAACATTTTCAGTCTTATCTTGCTTCCATTAATTCTCTTTAGTGTTTTTTTCACTGCTTTTCTCAGTGGAAAAACAATGCTTGACAGTGCTTTAATTAATAATTTCTTAGAAACAACACTGATACGTGCAATTTTTTCTAATAATAAAATCAATCTAAAAAGAAAATTATAATAAGAAATTATGATTCTTAATAGATTTATATAATGTATACATCCATTTATAGGCTATTTATAGTGTTAACTATGTAAACAAATAATTTGGTATAGTTTAGTTGTCTTTGGAGTAAAGTGTATGTCCGAGGGTCTAGCCCAGAAACACACCAATATTTACACACAAGGTTTAAAAATTACCATGGATAAACTACAGCTTATGAACTTCCTACAAAATGGCATATGATGGTGGAGAGAGGCAAGAGCTGCAGAAGAATCATGAGGTTCTAATTTATAATGCTTTGGTTCTGCTTTACGTATGTCTTCATCTCTGTCCTATGTTGATGTTAGCTTTATTGCCAACTACCATGTTCTCACCATTTTTGCAGATGATATAGTTTTCTTTGCTATACCAGCTACAAGGAAGGGATAAAGATATATTACATTTTGAAGTTCTTCGAGTAACACTGTAGAGTCGTCTTGCTGCATTGCATAATACTTGCTATATAATACTATAATTACAGCGTAATATTTAGAGGTTGCATACTTCTCAAGGATCATGTTGATTGTAGGTTCTTGCATGAAGGCAATAAGTTAAAGTGAGCCAGAGCTTGCCAAATTGTAAAGACTCAAACACTGTTTCATAACTGTCCATTCTGTGGTTGTTGGCATGCTTGCTAGTATACATTTGTTATGTACCAGCAACCACATTCCTAGGTGGTGCTAGGGCTTGGTTGATGGGATAGCAGGGACTTGCTGATTACACTCTTGCCAGTACAGTCTAGTGTGCAGTTGGCCACCTTTTTCTGAAGGGCCCACTGTTGACACACATTGAAACTGTTATTGACCAGGACTCTCAGGTCAGTGTGTTTGATAGCTGTTTTGTCCAGTGTCTAGACTGTAGTGGTGCGTGGGGTTATTCCATCCCAGATGCAGGGCTTTGCATTTGCCTTTGTTGCACTTAATGAAGTTTCTGTCAGCCTGTTTTTCCAGACTAAATCTCTCTCAATAGCAGTTCTAGTCTCCAGTGTATTGACACTCTCCGCAGTTTGGAATAATCTGTGAATCTGCTGAGATTGTACTGTGTTCCTATCATCCAAACCATTTATAAAGACATTTGACAGTACCGGCCTGCATACTGACCCTTGGAGGATGCCGGTTGCCACAAGCTGCCAGTGGGACTACCCTTTTGCCTGGACAAAGTTTCACTCACCTTGTAGTCCACTTATCCAGCCTTTAATTTAACAATTTGTCTATAAAGGATGCTGTGGCCAGTGTTGAAAGCCTTGCTGAAGTCAAGATACACGACAGCTGCTCTTCTCCCCTTATCCATAGATCCAGTAATTTAATCGTAAAAAACTATCACCTTAGTGAGGAATGCTTTGCCCTTGGTCAATCCATGCTGGCTGGTCCTTATAACTTTTTTATCCTTCATGTGCTTGGACAAGGCTTCAAGGAGGATTTGCTACATAACCTTCGTAGGTACTCAGGTGAGGCTGACTGGCCTGTGGTTTCCTGGATCCTCCTCCTTCCGTTTCCTGAAGATGGATGTGACATTTCATATCTTCCAGTCATCAGGAATCTCCTCTGACTGCCATGACCTTTCAAAAATGATGAGTGAGGCCTCTCAGTGATAGGATCCAGCTTTCTTATTACTCTTGGATGCATCCTATCTTGCCCCATTTCCTCAGATGCTTCCTGACATTATCTTCTAATATGGGTATTGTTTCACTCCCAGAAACTCCACTAGTAGGCTACTGGGAAACATCTGTGAGGCCTTAAGACAAGCCTTAGCAGTAAAAAATGAGGCAAAAAAGTAATTGACTACCTTGGCCTTGGAAAATCAACCAGCTCTCCTGGGCACTTCTTCCCTCCAGGGCTGTCTAACATGAGATCCTGTTAAGCAGATCCCTAAACAAAAAAACCTGCCTGGATGTGTTCCTGTGTGACCTGGTCTAGGTGATCCTGCTCTGGCAAGGGGGGTTGGACTGGATGATCTTTGGAGGTCCCTTCCAACTCCTAACATTCTGTGATTCTGTCATTCTGTGACTTGAATCATATCTACTGAGGCAAAGTAATTGTCTTTGAACAGACTCCAGTGGCTTCAGTGAAAGTGCAGTGAGCCTTCCTGTCACGTTTCGGTATACCTAGGACAGGTACAAGTCATTTTGCAAATGCTGATGCTCTAAAGTATTCAGCAGTACAGTTCTGAGTCTTACTGAAGGAAGGAGCCTGATTCAAAAGTAATTCTTATTTCATAGGAAAAAATGAAGTTGCTGTGGGAAACATATTCTACACATGAAAAAGTACAGCAAGAATTGAATATAGATCTCTGGTTAAATGAATCAGCTATTCTGTGAAACAAGCCAAATTCTGCTCTCAAGTTCAGGCTTTTTCTTCTACAATTTGTCCAATATTCTTCTCTTGGGAATTTAAACTTCTGATTTTCATGGTTGCAGTAACCAAAGCCACCTTGTGGCTTTGACCAGTTTTTCCTTGTTTGTGAAACATGTCCAGCAGGGGGTTGGACTAGATGATGTCTAAGGTCCCTTCCAACCCAAACCTTTCTATGATTCTGTGATTCTCTAGATGACTTGTCAGTCACCTGGATCAAGAAATTGTCTTCAGAACAATCTAGAAGTCTCCTGGGTGCTTTGCCCCTAGCCATATTATTCTTCCAGCAGATATCAGAGTGGTTAAAGTCTGTTGTGAGTAACCAGGATGGGCAATTGGGAGGCTTTCTTTAGCTGTTCAAAGAAGATTTCATCTACCTTCTTTTCTTGATCAAGCAGTCTGTAGCAGATAGCTACCACAATGTAATCTTCATAGGTCTAGCCTCTAATCCTCTTGACTGACTTGTCACCCTTTCCAATGCAAACCTCTATGCATTTAGGCATAACCTTGCAGAGAGTGTGACCTGTCCTCACCTTCCTGGGCTGTCATTCCTAAATATTCTGTAACTATTCATTGCAGCCCTCCAGGTGTATGTGCTACCCCTTTGCATCTCTGGAATGCCAATGAAATCATAGCTCTGCACCTGTGTATGGATGTTGATCTCTACTGGTTGATATCCATCCTAAAAGTGTTTGCATTCAGGCACTTTAAATGGAGCCCTGCTTGTGCTGCTTTCACATGGAAGGTTTCAAAGTTTTCCCCATCATGCTATCCCCCAAGTGCTGCTTCATCACTCCGTGTGCCTTCAGTTCTCTTCAAGTTGTGGTTATCTTCTGTCAACAAACCTATTGTTACCGGTATCACCTCTTTCAAATCCTTTGTTGCAGGAGTATACTTGAAAAGAACAAACTGTCCTCATTAGAGCTGATTGGTATTGAATCTCCAGCTATCTTGATGGTACTTTTGCCTGATAACTGAAATCGTAAAAAGGTGACCACAGCATGGCAAAAGATATACACTCAACTATTACCTTTCAATGTATACGTGCTGACTTTTTGCCTTTATTGTATTGACATTTATTGTGAAACATTCTTCATACTAGGATATTTGTTCCCTTTATATTCTAATTGAATGATATGTAGAACAATATAGGTAATACCACTTTTGCAGATCAGTAAAACATGGAAGCCTTATAATTACTGAAGTCTAATATTCCACTTAGAGGGCAGAACTATAATAGGAAGCATTTTGTAAATTATATTATTGGTTAGAGAAGTGTACAAGAGGTTATGGAGAATATTCACCAGTGGGTTTAGATATTGGGATTGGCTAACAAGAATCTTGATTTAGCAAAACATGCAAACCTTCAATCGTGTGAAAATTCCCTTGTGCTCTGTAGGACTGTGTACTTGTTGTGGTTTAAGAACAGTGGGCAGCTGAGCACCACGAAGCCATTCACTCACTCCTCCTCTCCCTCCCAATGGGATAAAGAGAAAATATAACTACGAGCTTGTGGGCTGAGACAAGGACAGGGAGGGTTCACTCACCACTTCTGAACACGGGCAAAAGACAGACTCAACTTGGGGAAAAAAATAAAACCATTTAATTTGTTACCAGTAACATCAGAGTAGAACAGTAAGAGATACAATTAGATCTTAAAGTCAACACCTTCCACCACCCCTCCCTTCTTCCTGGGCTCAGCTCTGTTCCCAGTGTCTTTACCTTCCCCCCCAGCAGCACAGGGGGACAGGAAAGGGCATTTAGTCGGTTTATCCCATGCAGTCTCTGCTGCTCACTCCTCTTCAGGGGTAGTGAGGACTCCTCACATTCTTCCTCTGTTTCCATGTGGTGTTCCTCCTACAGGAGAGTCCTCTATGATCTTCTCTTTGGGTCTGCTCATGGCCGCAGTTTACTCACAAATTGCTCTGGTGTGGGCTTCCCTTCCGCAGAGCACAGTCCTTCTCACAGACTGCTCCAGCACATGCTGCCCATGGAGTCATGACCTTCTTTGGGCACAGCCACCTTCTCATGTGGATCTCTGCTCCACCATTGAATCTCCATGGGCTGCAGGCGGGTCGACCTGCCCTCTCAGCAGTTGCAGTGGAATCTCTACTCTGACGCACCTCTTCCCCACTTTTTTTTTCCTTCACTGACGTTGGTGTCTGCACAGTTCTTCTCACATCCCATTCCTCTCTGCTGCAGGATTCTTCTGCCAGTTCTGGAACTGTTCCCAGCTCTTGGGCTGGAGCTGCAGTGAGGCTTGACCTGAAGTTGGGGCTGGCCAGGCTGGCACCTTGCTGGGCTGTGCTGGTCATAGCCAGGGGCAAGAGAGGACGGGCCATGCCCTGTGCCCCTCTTAAATACATCTTTCACTGAGGCACTGATTGACTTGGCCTTGGTCAGGGGCAGGTCCAAAACTGGAGCCAGGGAAGCTTCTAGCAACTTCTTATAGGGCTATCTCCATAGCCCCTCTCCCACTACCAAAAAACCTCCAACCCCCTCACAGGAAACCAATACAGTAGTGCATAATGTTGCCTTGAACTGGAATGTTAAAATTACCGTACTTCAAGTGAGTAATAGTAGCATAATGTCTCTCAGTATTCTACCTTGAGGCTTCCAAAGAAAATTGCTGTGATGTATAAAAACTATTATGATGATTTAAAGTTACTTATTCATTATTTTTTTCCCTTGTTACGCTGCATAAAAATATTATATATTTATATATGTAAAAATATTACTGCATAAATTAATACAAGTATAATTTTAATGTGTTTTGGGAAATTTTTTTCCATTCAGGATGAATCGATGAGACTCATATCAGAAGGCTGCAGAGCTCTCCTGTATTTAAATCTGTCATATACAGATATTACTAATGGAACACTACGACTATTGTCAAGGTAAAATTAAACAGAAATACAAAAGTGTTTGTTTTAAACTTTGAGGAGTACTTTGAGGCATATGTAGTAGAAATACTATTTTTGCGTGATTTACAGGGTTCTGTCTGCTATGCAAAATGAAAAAAATGTCCCATACTTTTGACTTATAGCAGTTCTTTTCTCTGATTCACTTGAAACAGAGAAATGATGATTAAAAATACATTCTAGATTACCCTATATATTACACAGAGTTTTACAGAAACTTAACATGCTAGCCAAAAATGTCTTGGGCATGCCCAGTTACTCATGATGATGCAAGAAGTTTGCAAGTTAGATATGTTCCTAAAAATTTATTTTTGCAATAGAGGATTGTGGATATGTGTATTGTGCGAGCCAAGGCCTCGTGTGACAACTGCAAAAGAAAGAGTTATTCCAAACTTACAGAAGATCAGTGAGCTGAAAGCAGAGAATTTACATTCTTGCAGAGCTCTGCCATTCCTGTTTTAGATGTATCCCTCCATGGGATTTGAATTCTGCCTGGTATGTAGAATTGTTGCATTAAAATCTGCCGTAAAGGAAAAGAGGCATGCTGGTCCAATAGTAGCCATCACAAAGATGGCTGTAGATTTGAAGAAAACTGTACATTGTTTCTCTTTCCCATGAGGAAAAGTAATGTCTTCCTTTTGAAGAGCAGCCCCACAAAGTCTAGAAATATGTTTTTCTTTGAGGCTTGCGTAATACATTTTGGCTTCTGCTTTTCTTAGTCTATATATCCTCATATTACTAACATTTGTTTTGGCAAAGTTTTGGATTTAGTGTCTGCAATCTTACCACTCATCTCTTCCTCAGTATTATTATTATTATTAGCATAATCTGTATTTCTCCATGTTAGCTAACATTTTGTCTTTTTAAATTTCCACATTTTTATGTTGAAGTTTGGAATGCCTGGTCTATAGGTAATCTCAGCATATGTTATTTTGCTTTCTTGAGCATCCTGTTGCCACCAAAAGTCAGAACCATTCATTTATTTTGATTGTAAATAGCACTTACTTACCAAGAAGGAATTCTTGAGCGTAGGTGAAGCTTTCAATGCAATAAAATGTTTACAACAAAAAGAAAAATTCTCCTCTGACAAAATATATTTTGCAGGTAATTTGTACCCTGTTAATAAGAAGTTTTCCCAGTCACACGTGATGCTTCTGATTTAAAACCTTAAGATACCATGGTTTTTATTGACAATTTTTGGACAAAAAGAATAGCTCATTGTTTCTGAATTTACAGAGATGTACAAAAAGTTGCTGTGCTGTGAAGGTTTTGGTAACAGACAAATTGAATAAACATTTCACATGCCTTCTCAAAAGCATTAGCTCACCACAAGTCCTGTACAGTAGGGTAACTAATACGAAGTTCTTAGGGGTGGCAGTATTGCATTTCATAATACTGCACGTCAAGTTTGCTGTTGTGTATCAGATGTCTGTTATTTGGACCAGGAACAAGTGAAGTGTAGGCTGAATGTGCTCAGAGCTCTGAGGTCGTTTTCGATTCTCTCCTACTGTTCCAGAGAAGCATTTTAACCTCTGTGTTGCACAACATAGATCATCAGCTGTAACACAGAAACTATTTTTTATAGTCTGTGTGCTCAAATTTACATTTTAAGAAAGCTGTCACCTTAAAAATGGCAGAAGTAGGCATGTGTTAAAATTCCCAGGTCATAAAAATGGGTCATATGACCTATAAAGAAAATCAGTGTCTCTTCAAAAGTACTGGAAGATTTTGATCAGTCTTCAAAATGTAGTTAGAAAGGCTTCCCTGTGTCTCAAGTTGTGCAACCTTGTAGCAACATATACTTTTTAAGGACTCAGAACTGCCAGAGTATAAAAAACAGTCTTTTAATTTATTATCTATTTTGACAGATAAGTTTGGAAGTGTACTGTCCAAGTTTGATTTTACCTACTCATTTCTGTAGTGTATGTCACTAAAATGCTAAAAAGGTTTATGCTTCTACAAAGAAGGATGTTTGTATTTCTGTGTTTAATATGAATTAGAGGTTTTCATTTAAAAAAAAATCACCACAAACACGTGTCCTTATATTCTAATGGTTCTGGTGTACATTGTCTATCCTTTTTTTTTTTCCATGAAATGTAACCTTATATTTAATTTCTTAGTATTTTTGTATTATCCTTTTCTTATTATAACATTCTTTTCCAGCTTCCTATCTCTTTTTTTTATGTTCAGTTCAAGTTTGCACTTTTCCCCACTCTATATTGAATGTATAAAGTCAGTTCCAAAAATGTGTGCCACTCCTTAAGCAGTCAACCCTTAGTGGGTGTTTCCATCTTTCTTCAAAATGCCTACTTTTGCTGACTTGCAGAACTGCATGAGTATATCCCTACAACTAAATGTCTACCAAAGCAGTAGGTCCTAATTCAGGGTTTTGATTTTCTGTATGCTTTCATTTGTGGTGCTTGTGGCAGTTGTTATTTATTCCAGCTAGAAATGTAGTTCAGTAAAATGAATAGTTTTCAGTATGTTATAACCAAACCTGCAGATGGAAACTTACATATACTCAGAGTATAGATTCTTGCTTTTACAGAGTGCCATTGATTAATATTTTCCATTTATACAGTTTGCTTTCTTTTAACTAATGTTTAGAATAAAGAACTGATCAAAACCTAACATTGGGTGATTCACTTTTGGATAATTGCCTTTTTAATATCTTTCAGATTTCCAGATACTTTTAGTAGTACTCTTCTAAATAATTATATGAACAGAGAAGCTCTAACTGTACATTTATACTTTTAACATACTTTGATAGAGTTCTGGTTTTCATTTCCAGCAGGCACTGCTTGTAATCAATGACAAAGATAGTCCAGCAAACTTATACTGAAAAGTCTATTAACTTTCCAAATATGCACACAAAAATCCCAGTTAATGTAAAAAGTATGCTTTTGCATTTCTTTGAGATAACTTTAAAATCTGTTAAAACTGTTTTCATACAGTGAAATATGTTGTATTAGTGTGCTATTCCCCAGTAATCTGCAGTACAAGGAGCAGAGGAACGCGCGCAGCAGAAGAACG